AAATAAAATGGCTCCGTCCGTGTTAAAATATATTTTTAAAAATCATAAAAACTAAACAGCCTAGAGTACTTTTAGTCTTTATTTTACAGTTAAAATGTATGTTTGTTAAATAAAGTCTAATCATGGATCACTTTAAGGAGGTAAAAAGTTCTGATCGGCCTCTAAAATCCTGCTAAATGATCCAGGATCTGTTCAAACATGTTTGTTGGCTCTGACTGGTCTAATGTTGGACTTGGACCGTGTGGTTTATTAGCCCCTCAGCTAAGGGTCAAAGGTCAGATCCTGGTCTCTGTGTTTGTTTGTCTGCAGCTTCAGCTCGTGAAGTAACTTGTCTCCTCACAGCTGATTATCTTTGTTCTGATCAGCTGTGAGAWGAAACGTGGTCACAGTGAAGCAGAACCTCCTGACCTTCAGCACAGTCTGCACTTCTGTCCAGAGGGATTATGGGAGGTGAAGTCTGGAGGCCAGACCTGTAGACCAGAAGAAGAACCAGGCGGAACACGGCCCTGAGGACAGGAGAAGAAATACTGAATATACAGAAGATGAGGTTCTGTCAGACCCAGCAGAGTGCCACATGATGACAGGACCAGGTCCTGGTCCTGGTCCCTCTGCTCCAACACATCTGAGTCAGTGACTGAAGAACCTCTTCATGTTCTGCACAAACCTGTCATCAGGTGTTGGAGCAGAGAAAGCTCTAACACCTGCAGGATGGTGGTCCTCCAGGACCAGGACTGGTTCTCATAAAACCAAACCAACATAAATCTACTCTACGTACTTAAAGACCTGGATGAGTCCAATCACCAGCCAGCGGCCCAGCTCCCCCCACAGCCTGCAGGCCCCCATCTCCAGGAAGACCTCCACGTACTCCAGCACCGAGAGCCAGGTCAGGAGTCTCTGCTGAGACACAGGCTGGACAACAAGAAGAAACAACAGTCTGACACCTGATGAAGACCTGATGAATCTGAGACCGAGTCAGTCTGAGTCAATCTGTGAGACTGAGTCAATCTGAGTCAATCTGAGTCAATCTGTGAGACTGAGTCAATCTGTGAGACTGAGTCAATCTGTGAGACCGAGTCAATCTGTGAGACCGAGTCAATCTGAGTCAGTCTGTGAGACTGAGTCAATCTGAGTCAATCTGTGAGACCGAGTCAATCTGTGAGACTGAGTCAATCTGTGAGACTGAGTCAATCTGTGAGACTGAGTCAATCTGTGAGACCGAGTCAATCTGAGTCAGTCTGTGAGACTGAGTCAATCTGAGTCAATCTGAGTCAATCTGTGAGACTGAGTCAATCTGTGAGACCGAGTCAATCTGTGAGACCGAGTCAATCTGAGTCAGTCTGTGAGACTGAGTCAATCTGAGTCAATCTGTGAGACCGAGTCAATCTGTGAGACTGAGTCAATCTGTGAGACTGAGTCAATCTGTGAGACTGAGTCAATCTGTGAGACTGAGTCAATCTGAGTCAATCTTTTGTGACTGAGTGAATCTTATTGACTGAGTGAATCTTTTTGACTGAGTCAATCTGTGTGACTGAGTCAATCTGAGTCAATCTGTGAGACTGAGTGAATCTTACTGACTGAGTGAATCTTTGTGACTGAGTGAATCTTATTGACTGAGTCAATCTGAGTGACTGAGTCAATCTGAGTGACTGAGTGAATGTTTCTGCAGCTCACCACAGGCAGGGCACATCTCAGACCTTTACGCAGGATGCTGTCGTTGAACAGGACTAGGAGGTTGGAGGCAGAGTACACTGAAAGATCAAAACACCAATCAGGAGACGAGTCATCTACAGCAGGTAAGATATTTACCTTTACACAGATTCATATTTCAAGACTATCCCTTTAAGGAAAGGAGCAAATCAATGAAAGTTAAAACTACTGAAGCAACAGAGCCCCTCCATGTGTAATGAAATAAAAAACACCTGTTTTACCTGGATTTATTGTTTTTTAACCTCAATCAGAGGTTTTAKTTCATAATCAGATGTTTTAACCAGGAAACAGAGGGTTTAAACCTGGAGTCATTCATTGGGAGTTTACTCACCGAGTTCAGAAATCTCATGACAATCAGCAAACCTTCCTGAAAAACAAGAGTCATAATGAGATCTTTGTTCATTCAAACCCAGGTGAGCACTCCAGGTGTACTTTTATAAACAAACTAACTCTGATTAAAGCTGTGAGGAGGTGGAGCTTTGTTTTCATWAGGTCAGGGTTCACACCTGTCAGGTTACAGCAGGGCTGTGGATCAGACCTGGAGCTGTTCGGACTCACCTGCGATCAGGTAGGACAGGGTTCTGACGGTACCCTCCAGCTGAGCTGTAGCAGCCGGGTTCCTCCGGACGTACTCGGTGTAGCGCTCATAAACACGACTSAGCGCCTCCACAGACTCCTTCAGAGCAGACATGTTAACTCTGACTCCTCATCAAGTCTCAGCTAACAACTACTACTGCTGCGATGRTTCGTCTTGTTTTAAAATTATCTACTTCCGGTTTGACTTTCTTCTTCTCCTCCAAGGTTTTACGACAGTTTACGTCCTCAAAGTTTCTTTACTGCCCCCTGGTGGTTCCAGGAAGTTCTGCTCCTCAAACAGGACAGTTCCTTTTTGTGATGGAAATCAGATATTTTCTGAAATAAAAAAGGGGAAAGCATGTAAAACAATTACAAATCCCATCTTTATTTTACAGAAAAGAGCCGTAAGGATTATCACCAGAAAACATTGCAGTCACCATCAAAATTATCTTTTTGTCAGTTTAAATTATTGAAATTTCATGAGTTGGTTGATCATAATATTTTGCAGGTTATGTATAAAGCTCATAAAAATTTTATTACCTCTAAATATTCAATTAAATTTTGTGAAGAGAGTAAATAACTATAACCTTAAGGATATAGAGAAGTTTGTAAAACTAAAATTCAAACAAATTTGAAGAACTGATGTGCTTCAGTCCAAGGAATGAGATTATGGAATAATCTGGAAAGTGATTATAAAAATGCTGACTCAATAAATTTGTTTAAGAGAATGATAAAAGTTAGATGTTGAAGAAATATGAATGTGTATAATGTGCATTCATTGATGTTCAAGAAGCAGTTGAAGTTTTTATGTTTTGTTATTTGAAGATTATTGTTGTTTGAACTTATTTATTTATTGAAAAAGAGGCAGATATTAATAAGATTTTTTTCTTCTTTCTGCTACCTTTTATTTTAGTTG